GACGTGTCTACTACCACTTGTCGCCGCGACATGAGTTGTCGCTTGGACGCCTGCGAGGTAGGCCACGGCTTCTATCTAAGGCGTCTGTCGTAACTAGGACTTTGGGTTTAGGCTTCTTTTGACTCCAGGCTCATAAATCCTTTCTAAAGCTAAGAAGTGAGGCCGTGTCAATCTAGGCGTGGGTCGATGATTGTCGCTGAGAACGCCTGGAGGGTAGGCAATGCTTTCCTGAATCGGGCCCCCGCGGCCCGCGGCCCCATGTCCCTCCGAGCGCTTGGACAAGGCGAGAGCTGCGGAGAGGCATTGATATCTTTCGTTTTCGCTTTAGTTCTTAGCGCAGTTTACTTCTGGTCGATATTCTAGCATTGGCGGAAGTAATGAATTCGTATATAGACGGTTCTCGGGCACTGTCGGCTGTAGCTACAATCGTGTAGCTACAAACAGGGACGTGGGGAAAGGGGGGGGGGGGAGCGAACCGGACACTACTCCACGCAGCCAGAGATCTTAGTGAGCTTCCAGCCTGTGGTCGGGGGGTAGTGCCAGCGCAGTTTTGGCGTTGTTTGCGGGAGGCGGGCGGCCTGGGATGTCTTACTGGCGTAATCTAAGATAAGGCGAATGATAACGCCTGCGGCGCATCGGGTAGGCCCGCCCGCCAAGTGTCTCTGTGGAGGTGGTGGCCTACCCTCAGCGCCTGAGCGGCGATACCCCCTGTTAGCTCCCTGCCCTGGCCAACCGCTACATACCCTACAAGGAAACTACCACCTGCAACACTGTTGTTAGCGGAAAGAGATCGTTAGGTTTTTCTTTAGGTTGTTGGTGACTTCCCGGAGGTAAGAAACTGCTGTTGTTATTTTCTCTTTGTTCAAGTTTTTCTTTGTAAATTATAGATTGGTCAATGTAGTGTCATAGAGACACCTCTGTCTATGTGAAGATGCGGAAGAAGGCAAACGTGATAAATCTCATTCACAAATTTATTTACATAACCTCATTTTGAATTTAGTTTCCTAGAAAATTCCCACGTTTACCCCGTTAAGTGTACAAATGGATATTGACACACCTACAAGTGTGCCACATTCACACACTTGCGCTTCCAGTGCAGCAGGGAGGTGAGAAATGGGAATGAAGTGAATCAATCATTTGGGATTCGAAGTGTTTCAGTTTATGACATGACATATGAGTGTTACCAAGATAAATACACATGTTGTAAATACTTCAACTTGTAACCTTAAGTAAACAAGAACGTAAATACACAGTGCTTATATGCTGTCTTGATAACCTAACGTTATAGATTATTTCATACGAGAAGAGCACAATAAATTACTACAGTAGCAACTTAACCTGGTTAACTTACTTTGTACTTCGAAAAATGTTGGTCCTATCACTCTGGTGCTTGTAAACTTATATTTACTCACCACAATATTATAAAAAGTTTTCTTTTTAACATTAAACATGCTAATTATGTATGAAAACCTTATGGTTCTTATTCTAATTACAATCTTTTCTAGAATAAAACTATACAGTACATCATAGGTAAATTAACAAAAAAAATATAAATTACTAAACTATAGTCTTCATATCACACGCACGCACATTTGAGGGGCAATAACAATTACATACCCTCAGTCTTAGCTGTAAGACATGTTATCTAAATATGATATCTCAGAAAAATGCCATAAAGGGCGCTTTGGAGGTGCACAAGAGTATTGAAGTATATACTTCCTTCACGTAAATAGAGCACGAATTTGTGGTAATAAATTTCTTAAAAGTAAAAATCACACAAGAAAAATGGTTTGCACAATAAATACTTTTTTTTTTTCAGCGCGTCGTAGGCGACCCCGGTCTCTACTGGATGGGCTTCCACGCGACTACAGCGCGTTGCGAGTCGGGCGCCTCGCCAAAGGGGACGGTGCCGTCCGGCGCGACGTACTGGTTGACCTGGTAGTCGAGCAGCGTCTGGAAGCCGAACACGTCGCGGCCGAGCTGCTGCGTGAGCGGGCTCGTGTTGGTGGTGAAGACGCCGGTGAAGCCCCGGCTGCGCGCCGTGCGCAGCACCTCCTGCTCCATGAACTGCATGGCGAGCACGTTGGCGCGCGGCGACAGGCTGGCCGCCGTGGCCATCATGAAGCTGTGCAGCACCCGGCCCCGGCCCGTGGGCAGTTTGTTGTCCCTGCGAAGCGACCGACACGGGAATTATTTAGACTCATTTCCATTCAAATAAGGGGGGGACAAAAAAGTGTCCGCCAAACAACTTTTGGCGGTCGGCCATCATTCCCGGGATTTGTTTTGTATTTTTTATTTCCTCGGGGGAACAAAAAAATAGAAACAAACAGAACAACCGCAGAAGAATAATATGTGTGGGAAATCTTATGGACAAAACACTAGAAAAACAAAGGTGTAAGTCGTGCCTTTCCTGGGGTACTAACCAAGTTCTGAGTCTAACGCCCCTGGAAAGGCACAAAAGGGCTCTGAAAGTGCTAAAAATTTGTGCCTTTGGTAGTTTCGGTGGAACTTGGCACCTTTGTTTTTCCAGTGAACATAAACTTTAACTTGAGAACAACTAAACACGCTCACCTGATGGGCCCCTCGATGAACTCGAGGAAGTCGAAGACGATGTTCAGCTTGCTGGTGATCTGCACCGGCGGCTCGTCGTGTGCGTCGAAGGTGAGCGCGCAGGCCACCGCGGCGCCGGCCTCGTCCTTCACCACGCAGCTATTGAAGGAAAACACTCAGCGATAAGCGGAACGAAACGAGCCGTCGTCATCGACTGGCCCAAACTGGAGAGGCGGGAGGCGCCCCTTACCTGAGCTTCTTCTCCACCAGCGGCTCCCAGATCTGGTCCATGAGCTCCGAGTAGTCGGACGGCGACACGCCCGGCATCAGCCAGTGCTCCAGGTCCGCCTTCTGCAGGAAGCTGTCCGTGATCATGCTGCGCAGGGAAAGGGCGTTAGGCCATCAGAATGACACGTGCTATTCTCAACATTTGCATATTCTGAAAACCGACCTGTACACATCCTTTTTGTGTTCCTCCGACAACAGCTCGGCCCTGAAGTTGCTTTGGTGCCGGGACTCGGCGAGGAGCGACGCCTCGGCGCCAGATGGCTTCATACACTCCAGGGCCTGGCCCAGGGACTCGGCGCCGATGAAGTCGCTGACACCTGCAAACGGAGAGCGCCACCAAGGCGGGTGTTGAAGTAGAGAAGCCTCGGACGGACCCAAAACAGAAGTACGTCTCCAGCGCTTCACCCCTGCGGACCCCAAGGTAGGCCACAAAACAGCACAGCTGTCCACTCATGGCCTACCCCATAGGTGCTCCAGAGGGCAAGAACTGCGATGAAAAGAAATGGGCCGGCCGGTATACCGCGCTTCTTGCACACGCTGTGCGCCGGCATCTTTCTTTCGTTAGGCTCGTAATCTCACTCCCGCCTGCCTTTCCCCCTGCCTCACATCCCAGTCGAGCGCGCCCCGGACCCCTCCTAGCCTAGCCCGACAACGGGTACTGCCGCATACTCACTGATGAAGAAGCCCTGGTCGCGCAGGCGGGTGACGGTGAGCACCGAGTTGAGCGAGTTGCCGCCCAGCTCGTAGAAGGAGCGCGCGAGCGAGACCTTGGCGCGCGCCGCGGCGCCCAGCACCTCGGCGACGGTGTCGAGCAGGACGCGCGCCACGTCGGCGAGGCCGTCGGGCGCGCCCGAGTAGTCGGGCGAGCGGTCCAGCGCGGAGGACTCGGCGTAGCCGCGCAGCAGCGCCTGCCGGTCCACCTTGCCGTTCACGAGCAGCGGGATCCAGTCCACGGCCAGCACCTGCAGCAAAACGGACGGCGGGTGTTTTACGAGCAAAGTTCTCATACTTCCCCCGGCGCATTACATGAAATACGGTGGGGATCAAAAAGGCCGAGGGGGCGCCAGTCCTTGGTCCTGGCCCCATAACTTGCTGGAAGGAAACCGACACACAACGTTGCTTCTCGACCCATTCGGACTACTGCCATCCCTGCGTCCTACCTCCCTCGCGCCGAGCGTGCTTTTGCACGGCGGCCGCGAGGTGTTTGTTTACGCCTAGCTCCCCTCACCTGCGGCACGGCGTAGGGCGGCAGCGACAGGCCGAGGGCGGACTCCACCTGGCGGGCCGAGAGCGGGCCCTGGGACCCCTCGCGCAGCGTGACGAACGCCAGCACCGCCTGCAAAACAACATCACGACGTCAATCACGCTGTTGTAGTCTATCGAGGGGTGAATCACTTGGATATTCCATGTACACACTGAAAAATATACCAAAAATAGGATTATTCCAGATATTCCAAAATATTCCAGATATTCCAAAATATTTCAGATATTCCAAAATATTCCAGATATTCCAAAATATTCCAGGTTTTCCGAAATATTCCAGGTATTCCAAAATATTCCAGATATTCCAAAATATTCCAGATGTTCTATGTACACAAAAGTGAGTGGTCGACCCCCAACTAGGTCCGCCGAGCCCAAAGCAGTAGCTGCTCGTCCGGGCGTCCTCACCTGGTCCTCTTCGCCCGGCCGGTAGCACAGCACCACGCCCTTGTCCACGCCGTCCACCCTGGTGAGCGCGGCCTCCAGCTCGCTCAGGTCCACGCGGTGACCGCGCACCTTGACCTGCGAGTCGGTCCGCCCCTCGAAGACGAGCGTGTTCTTGTCCACGCGCGCGAAGTCACCGGTGCGGTACAGCCGCACGTAGTCTGCCAAAAAAAGAAAGGACAAAGCGCGCCGCGCGTTACAAGGCTGCATAGGAATAGAGGAAGGAAACAGCGGCAGCGCCACGAGAGGAAACAAAAGGAGGAGCTGCTGTTGTTTTGTTTTTGTTTTTTTGACATAAAAGCAAACGTGGGATCGGCGTGTCCGCGCGTTCCCACATCGCGCTGACCTGGGTGCACGGCCAAGGGGTTGTCGAGGAAGCGGTGCGGGTCCCTGCCGGCCACGTAGCCCGCCGCCAGGTTGCGCCCCGCCACGAACAGCTCGCCGGGCTGGCCGGCCAGCGCTGGCCGGAAGTGCTCGTCCAGCAGGTACACGACGGTGTTGTCGAGCGGGCTGCCGATGGGGATCTTGTCCAGGCCCTGCACCTCGGCGGCCGAGCGCAGCACGTGGAACGTGACGTCGCCCATGATCTCGGTGGAGCCGTAGAAGTTGCAGAGCCAGTGCGAGTCCAGGCCGACGGAGGCGAAGTGCGCGAAGAACTGCTCGGCGAGCGAGGCGGCCAGGCTCTCCCCGGAGCACACCCACAGCCGGAGGCGGGCCAGCAGCTGAATAGGGGGGCAATCACCAATAAAAACCACACATTTGAAAAGGTAATCAGTGTAAAAAACACACCGCTCTGGCACACGCGCGCGCTGCTTCCGGGGTGTAAAATAAAAATTTGTACGGTTCAATAATATTTCGGGGTCCCTTTGACCCCCCCTGGACCCGCGGCGGGGATTAGATTAAATGAATAAAAGAGGGGTGCCTGCCCGGGCGATATGAGCGATGTGGGCAAAGCGTATTCGAACCCAGTCTCGTATGAATGAACAAAATACTAATCCCTCTTACCCACGGACCCACCCACCGTGCCGCGGAGACAAAAACAATGAACGGCGCGTTTGTAAATGGGCACGCGGCAGGGCGGCAGGGCGGCAGGGCCCGCGGCACGGAGCGAGCGGCGCGCTGACAAACCTTTATCAAACTATACTCCATTTATTCCAGCAGTAATTTTAAAGTGTGGAGCAAGGCGGGTCAGTGTTGTAAACACCAGTTGTAATCAACGACGAAATGTTGCCGGTCATGGAGGGAGGTGGGGGGGGGGGGGTAATTCTTACAATTTCTTTTTAAAAGGAGAACATTCCGGCCGTTCCTTATTTCGTTTGGTGCAAAGTACTCACCGGCTTGTTGTGCCTCTCCGCGTTGCGCTCCGCGTCCATCTTGAGGTACATCAGCATGGCCCTCAGCAGGGACGGCACCAGCACGAGGCGCTCCACCTGATGGTACCAAACAGAAATAAAACAAAATAATTGCGCTGCAGTTTTTTTAAGAAGCTTCATGATTCACGATGCTAATTTCGACAATTTGAAATCAGATGGAGGCCATGGGGTTAAAACATTTGGTTTTTGAAAGCCGCGCACACAATGGTTGATTAATTTGAGCACAAAACAAAAGTGCAGCTGCACCGCTGCCGAGAAAAATACAGATGTTTCTGTTGCCGTTGCGTGTGATGAGTAATTCATGAGGCAAGCGTTTAGCTAGCCGGTCATTAATTGGCGTTACACTAATGATTGTGCGTCACAGCGGCACGTACTAAACACTGGGGAAAAAAAAAGAATCACGCATAGAAGTAGAGCGGTCTATTCGGCACATCCTCCGCTAATGAAGTGGTCAAGGGGGTAAATCACTCAGCGACAAAAAAAGTGCACTCTAGTCAATGCGCTATTACCGGTTATTGCCCACTATTAAAGCGACTAATCGGCGACTGGGACTTTTTCGGATAAGTTTTATATTCTCTTTTTCTACCCCTAGCAATCGTGTGTTGCAACAACCACGCAGGGATAGAATGATAGCCCATTCCAGCTCATTCCTTCCTCGTATTTTTTCTTTTCTTTTTTTTTTTACATATGGTTGATCCGAATTAGGAACTGATCCGAGATAGATTTAGTCACTATTAGGCATTATCACGTCATACTTATGTCAAATTACGGCTTGTTATTACGTATTACATGTTATTTACCCATACTGCACACGAGTGGTCATTTGATCGCTTACACCGTTTTCCCAAAGTTACGTAATTACGTTGTTGTCACGTCGTTATCACAGGTAATTTTTCAGGTCCGCGAGTGTACAAATCATTACGCAAGTAATTTCCAACTAGGTAATGGGAGGAAATTGCTCAGTCAATGATCATCCCCCCACCCCCACACCCCATGTTTTCTCACAACGACATATTTGCGATAACCTCCATGTGGATTCAGAGTTCACCAAACGCAGGCGTGATTTTCACGCTCCATAATCTTCACGCAGCCAATCAGGAACCGACTTTCATCACGCTGCGGGCGTGAAAATCATGCCGGGCGTGAGGATTGCGCTTGCGTTTAGGGAACTCTGAATCCACCTTCACTGTGAAAAATATCATCGTAAATTTACAATATTTTCCATGATTTTGATGCACTACATAATGCAAGTGAATTTGTGCATTTACGATCGTGACGTGATGAAGGCAAACGTAAATTTACAAAATGCTGTCGTAACTATCATTGAAAAAGTTGTCAAACGGCAAAAGTCGTCTGCTCATGCGACCATTTTTCACAGTGCTCTTAATGACTTATGAGGTGGCAATTTTAGAACCGTATGGCAACATTATTCTCATTCTGCACCACTGGACAGACAAAAAGGACTTAATGCCATGCTAGGGGTGTTAAATTGTAATGCCTTTGCAAAGGCACAAAAGTGTAAATGCATTAAATTATAAAACCTTTGGGCAGTTTCATTGCCTTTGCAGGGGTGCTAATTTTTAATGCCTTTGTAAAGGCATTAAAACCCTTTGAGTCCTACCTTTGTTTTTTCCAGTGACCATAACGATTTCGTGACAATTTTTATCCCAAGGGTCGATGGTGCCAGCATGAGAGAGGTGCGCATTTGTTCCTGGCTGCCGTGTGAAGAGCATGTGTGTCACTCAACGATAATAAGTATTTGTTACACTGACCGTTTAAAGTGGTATACAGTTGTACTGTTTTGCTCATAAGTAGACATCGCAGGTAGGATTGATGACACGCCAACTTCGGCGAAACAAGGAGGACTGTACAGATTATCTAATAAACACCGGTTTAATCTGGTCAAATCTATGTTGGCTCAACACCTCTTGGCATTGACAACGTCCAGCAAAAGGCAAGAGGAAGTCAGCAGTGTCGCACAGCTATGCTGCTTTCACATTCAAGAGAGGACATTTTTATAGTACCTATATTATACTGACTGGGCGTATAAAATTAAAGGCACTCGTCATATGCATCAATTTACAACTAAACAAGTTTCTGCTCGGTCTGTATGTGTGAGAACGAGAGCGAGGAGGGTGGGGAGGGTGACGGAAACAGAGACAGAGTGAGTGAGTGAGTGAGTGAGTGAGTGAGTGAGTGAGTGAGTGAGTGAGTGAGTGAGTGAGTGAGTGAGTGAGTGAGTGAGTAAGTGAGTGAG